CATGTTCTAGAAGTTATTTTTATGCATTTAATTTTTTGTATTAGTGGGTCATCAATTTGCTTGTAATGGGGGACAAAGTCAATGTTTGTATTTTAATTCTCCAAGTAATTGAGAAATAATTCTTTATTATTTTTATCATTGCATTATATAGTGAGGCTATATTGTATAAGTCTATATATATCCTATGTAAATACATTCATTTGGGTATGAGTGAATTGAAACAGCTCGTCCATTTTATTTTTTGTGAGTGAGTGATAGTTTTCTAGAATCTAACAGAGTTCGAGGAAAACACTTAATAAGGAAGCCTATTTAAAAAAGAGGAAAAAGATTGTCCAATTATTGTTAGAATTACTCCAATGTTACTTGAGTTGGAAAATCACTCTGATCATAGTTGTCAAATCACGTATCGGAAGATGTATCGTTTTTCAAAAATAGTGTATCGTATCATATATCATAAGATACGCGCAATTTTAATTTTTAAATAATTAATAATATATAGATATATATACCTTTATAAAAAAGTCATAGACTCATAATAAATAGCACTTCGTTAATATTCCATTAATTATTCAAGTTCCCAACATAGTTCAGTAATATCAAAATGCAAAAACCTCTAATTCAAACTTCTAATATCAACTGCTTGAACAACCTTAATATTAATCAAGAATTTTGAATTCAATTGAACAATATTAATAACAAACTTTATTTTATTTTTTTTAAACCATAACCACTGATACGACATTATTTCACTGGTTAGTGATTTAAAAATAAGTCCCAGAGTAAAACGATGTCATTTCGGCCCCAAAAAATAAAAAAAAATCGTCGCGTATCTGACGTATGATATCGTATCGTGTATCGAACGATACGATATAAAAACGATAAAGAGTTACGATATGTATCGTTTTTCAGATGTATCGCGACGTATCGTACGATACTAATAACTATGATCGTATTTATAGAGACATCACACATATTCATAACTTTGTATTAATATGTCACTACCTTCACTAACTCTTGTAACTCTTAAAATATTAAGACACCACTCTCTTCATTACTTGGGGAACTAACACTCACTTATACTATTGTCTTCCATTACCTTCATATTCTTTTTTCATTAACACTCACCAAATTAACACAACTTAATAATATAATAAATCTCTAAAACAAGTTTATTTTCCAGAAATAATTAGTCAAAGAAATGGTCAGGTTGGGTACTTGGGTTGGCTGGTGAATTATTCAGTGGGCTTGATGATGACATTTAACCATGCTGGCTAAACTAGATATATCGGTTTTTGAGAGTTTGCATTAGAAAAATGGACAATTTGGGTCTTCCTCTACTTCTATCACCAGCTCCTTTATACTAATTCAGATGCATATCTGCAACTATGTCCACATCTCCTATTGAGTGGGGCATTTCTAAGACTTTGACAAACATGATTGCTTTGATATTTTGCATCGGAAAAATTAGACAAGTTGGCTCATCCTTTACATAACTGGGATGGCATTGATGGAGTCATGTAAATTCATTTGCCAGGTGCAGACTTTGACATTAAAACTGGCCCTCTTGTTACTTTACAACATCAAACCATAAATATTAAAATCCTGTACAATTTAGTGTATTATGAGGAAATAAAATTGTATATCTATTGCACCTGATTACTGTCAACAAAGCTTCTTAGTTTTCATTGTGGGGTTCTTTTTGTTTGTGTGCATTCACCTAATCGCTCTAGAGTTAGTACATTGGACTGGCTTAAATTATTAATGTTTAGACCAATCCGTCCTCTACTCCTATTCAATATTGTGTTTAATGCGATGACTATTTCAACCTTAAACCCCATGATTAGAAACTAAATACCGATCAACAGTTTTACATATTTGTTTCTACACCTCCTCTTTTCTATTTAATATTCTTTGGATACTAGGAAGATGAGTATGGTGAAATGATATGAAAAACTGGTAGAAATCTTAGGGAAATCAATTTACTTTATTGCATTTGCATGCATTTGAAATGTACCTCTTTCAATTGCCAAAAAAAAAAAAGGGCAAGAAAAACCTCAATGAATGGACTTCCACATAAGGGGAATTTTCAACTTATTGAGACTATTTGTAGTGGTGGCTCCAGTCTTTTTAGTGTCTTCACACTAGAGTGTGGATTTTCATTTCCAATGTTGTGTGACATGTACTAATTCAGTATCCTTGGAATGCCATAATCTGCTTCCTGTTGCTTATGGATGTCCCATGTTCATTCAGTTACAATAGTTTTGTGATATATGATGTACACTACATGTTTATATAATAGACGGATATTTTGGCCGTGGGTACCTTTTTTTAGAACTTATTTGATTTTGAGTACCACAGCTAGACTTATACTCCCTTAAATACTTTTTTTCATCAAATTATTGTCACTAAGTATATATTTCAAATTCTTTTTTTTTGTATTACCTAATTACTACTACCATAAATATTGTCAATCATTGTTAGATTCAATGTTTTCAAAAATAACAATTCCTAACTTGGGAATTGTGCTAGCATTAATTTTCTATCATATATATATATATATATATATAGTAACATCAAACAATAATATTGTTAATAAAAAACTTAATTAAAAATTTAATCATTGCAATAGAGTGACACTATATGTGAGTACTTAAAACTATTATCTTGCCCACAATAAAGTAAGTACACACTGTATGGTGTTACTCTATTGCAATGATTAAATTTTTTATTGAACATATTACTGTTAGATGTTACTATTTTTTTTGTTGAGCATGTTACTATTTAATGTTATTATATATATATATATATATATATATATATATATATATATAGATGGATAGATATAATAGAAAAATAATTTTAATGCTAACACAATTCTCAAGTTAGGAGTTGTTAATACTAATACAATTCCCAATTTATGAGTTGTTAGTTTTTTTAAACAAGTCTTGATTAAATATAACTATTGAGGGTATTTTGGACAATGGAAATCAAAATAGACTTTTTCTCAAACAAATTTTTTGAGTGGGTTTAAGTTCAAATAAGTCTACAAAAAAAGACCGGCCTCCAAAAGACCCTATAATTGATGACATGGAATTGGACCATTACAGAAGAGGCCACCCATCATTGCAGATGATAGGAAAAACTAAAAACATTCTCATAAAATGTCATGAGTAGCCCTAAAACATTAGTTGTAGTGTTGTTTACCCATTCTTTGATCACCCATTTTAAATGCCATTATAGTTTCAAATGCTACCTAAAAAATGGAGCCACTTAGTGTCAATGGATATCCAAATATGCTTTTGGTGTTTATGGAAGTAGTCATATTATATGTAGTCTCTGATCACTATCCACTAATAATTATGAACTCTAGGCCATGCATGGTAAATGAAATGTATTATTTCTGGAAGGGAGACAATGCAATCAGTAATTTTCTTTTTGCTTGGTAACTTCAAATCTGTAAAATGCATGAATTCTGTCTATAAATTGCACTTACACATAGCAGTACTTGGCCATTGATTATGTTTGTTTCTTGAAAATTTGAAGTGTTCTATCTTAAAATTGAGGGCGGTCATCTACGCAACAAAAAAGAATCTCAATATTTAGGAATACGGGTCCATTATTTTTTTACTCTTTTCGTATCTGCTACCTTGTACTCGTAGGGTCTTCACTTTTTGCAATAAATATGTATTGGTCAAAAGAGATGCATTTATTTTTGGGTTTTCTTTCACATCATGGAATGGAATAAATAATGCTTCTATTGGACCAGAAATGGGATGGCTTTGAAATGAAGAATGTGTCCTTGGAGTTGCATAAAGCAGCAATATATCGTCGGAAAGGCGGATACAAAAACTTGATCGAGAGCGATGAGAAGGATGATAAAGTCTTTGTAGCATTTAAGATAGACTCCATTCCTGAGAGGCGGCCATTCCTGTTATCTAGGGACTTTGCCTTTGTACGGCCTTCCGGCAGGAACATTGAGCCATTTCAGGTCAGCCTTCTAATCTTCCATCAACTAACTTAAGAGAAAATCTCACACTTTAGGACAGAGATGAAACACATCGGTATCTGCATAATTATTAAGCTTCCAAAGTCTCCATTGATTTGATATCAAATTAACAATCTTTAGTTGAAGTCAGAAACAAAATGCATAGAGTAACAATTTGAGATTGAATACGACTACAACTAGACCGGTGTACAATATTTGCCTTTTTCGTCCGCCAATAAGAATGTTTTATGTGACATGCACTTCTTTTGCAAGTGATCATTTACTTCTATTTTCCTACCTTGTGGGCACACGATTGCCTTCATTTAAAGTACCTTCACTGGGCAATAGACCAAGACAGAGTACTTACTCGGCCACCCCCATGAACTGTTTCCCCTGTGAGTTCAACCCCTTATGTCCTAAGATACTAAGTTGATCAACTTTTGAGCACCATGATGTGACTAGGATCATCATCCTGTTCCTATTGGCATTAGAATTGTCCACTTTAGAAAGATGCATGTTCATATTTGATCAGCTCCGGTTTATGCTCTTTTGTTTTTCAAAAACTCAAAATCCAAGTTCTGTGGTTCTTCTTAAAGTCATGGGGGGGCTTTCCCAACATAAACATCTTCAATACAGAGTTTTTTGCTATTTTGATATGATTCCAAATTATGTTACAGTTAAGATATCAACCCTATTTTTTTACCCATATGATCTTTTGCTATAATCAGAAGTCCTTTTAGTGTGTGCTCACTGAGCTAAAATCTCTTGTTCTTACTCAAATTATTCCTGCATTTGAATTTTAATGTGGTATTGTCACTGTGCTGAATGAAACCAAAAGTTTCATATTCGGATTTTGAATTAGAGACATTAAAAATGATGAATTAACGCCTATTTATAACCCCTAACCTTCCAAGCCAACGATGTGGGTTTATATTATATATACATTATTTATTTTATATAAAATTATAATTGAGATCCTATAAATCTATTATAATGTTATAGTCTTATGCTATGGTGAAGAGTACTTTTGTATGAATTCATTTTGGAAAAATTTCAGACTTCGTATTGCATTAAACTTGTCTTGAATGTTTGAAGAGATGGTCAACGATGGGAAATTTTTATAGCCATCCTGTTCTTTTCTACTATTAAATCTCATTTACTCGTTATTCACATGTTCATTGTACTGGATTTGGGTAGGGTATTATCTACCGTGTGGTGAAGAGTAATCTTGTGTTGGTTGAATTTGAAGAAGATTTTTACTTGGAGTATGATCGGGCCTGCAAATATGATGTTAAATTCTCGTTCAACAGAGTCTGTTTAAAGCGGGCACACCAAGCAATTGCAGTGGCATCAGACCATCTGTTGAGGTACTTCCTCTTCCCTGAAAGGGTACCTCAAATCAGACTTGCTCCGACACGACTTTCTATCAGTCACGAACTTGATAGGGAGCAAGTCTCTGCTGTTCGTCAGATTTTAAGCCTCAAGTGTCCACCACCTTATCTTGTGGAAGGACCAGTTTCAGTAACTAAAATGGGTGATAATAGAAAAAGACTCTCAAGAAGTGGAGTGGTTGTTCAAGAAGCAGTACTCCAAGTTTACCGGACCTCTCCTTCATGTCGGATTCTCGTATGTGCTCCCTTAAATAACACATGTGATGTGTTCACGAGAAGCCTGAAGACACAGATTCCAGAATCTGATATGTTTCGAGCCAATGCTGCGTTCCGAGAGTTGGATGGCGTACCTTTTGACATCCTCCCCTCTTGCCTTTATGAGGGGGAGTGCTTTTCTTGTCCTCCACGTGTGGAAATCAGTAAATATAAGGTGATATTATCCACTTTCATGAGCAGCTTTCGACTGCATGGTGTAGGGATCGTAGCTGGGCATTTTAGCCATATCTTTCTGGTAGATGCTTCGTCTGCTACTGAACCTGAGACTCTGGTAACTCTGGCTAACCTGGCCAATGAGAATACAGTTGTTGTGGTTACTGGTGCGCCGAGGGATCATTCAGGTTGGGTTCGTTCCCCCATTGCGAGGTACAATGGACTGTCATGTTCATACTTTGAGAGACTCCGCGAGAGCGAGCTGTACAACGGTCTTGATCCAAAGTTTATGACACAACTGCAAGAGAGGGGAACCACATAGCTCTTTCTCATTTCTTTGAAACACAAGCTCTACTCTTTCCTGGATGAAGATTGCGTCTGTATACAAGCCCCAATAATAACATAGGTCCTTTCGTTTACTACAGTCTTCCAGAAATAGCTTCCACTATTGTGTATTTCTTATTGCTTTATGTTTTATGTTTGTAGATGTAAGCGAGTCTTGGGTGGTAATGGAATGTAATAGGCATAGGTAGACCATCTGAATAATATAAAATTTTTAATCTTTTAGGATCTAAATTAAACGTATGAGAACATTTTAGAGTACTATTTATTATTTACCCTCTTATATATTTTGTTTTTGATATCATGCATGTTGTATTCAGATAATAAATCTTTTTTTTAATTTTTTGGTTTAACGGTTAGAGTTGTTTGAGACGGATTTCAAAACCACTATTTAGGTTTAGTTGGGATCATGTGTGTGTGGATTTGATGAACCAATCAAAGGAGATTAAGATATTCTCTAATACATTTTCTCTTTAATTTTTTTCTTGACTGATCGTCTATCATGCATTTAAATGGGATCTATCACATGTAAATGAACTCCTCACTCATTACTAGTGAATAATTGTCAAGAAAGAAATTGAAGAAAAATGTGTATCGGAAGAGATCAATCCAAAAGTATGGACAAACTTACGACACACGCTGAGTGAATTTTTGCATTCTCTAGGTGAGTATCCATAGGAGAAAGGGGGATAACTTTTCACACGATCTTGTTGCAAAATTAGTAGGTTAGAATTAATTTATTTTTAACATGAATTAAAATTTAATCTAATTCATTACCCCAAATAATAAACGGGTTAAGTTAATCTCGCACACAAATAATTTAGTTTTGACAAGATAAACTCGTTAAAAAAAAAAAGACAAGATAATTCTGTATAATTAGCATTGTATGAAAAAAATATTTGAACTTTCTATTTTCTTGTATTTCTCAATCTATTGTTATGAATTATAGTTATAATCAAAGGTTTTCTTACTTGGTTTTTTTTTTTGTTTAAAAGCTTTCATATGCGTGGACACTAATAGTCTAATACCACAATATTTATGAATAAGTTTGATTATAGTTAAAATATTTAACAATTAATTAAACGAGTCAATTCAATGTTAACTAATATTTAATATGATCACGAGATAACAAGACACGACATGGTTGATTGTCGGTGTGAGGTAAGATTCATCTTGGCATCATTAGTTGTTAAAATATCTTGCATACTTGTCGCCCTATTTAGTATAATGGTGATGGCAAAGTTGCAAAATTGATAGACCTAATGGTCATAAATCAGATTGAATAAAAAACTAACATTGACTTACGGGATTCATAATAACGATTCTTAATAGAGATATACAACAGAAATCCCCACAAGAAGAATATCAAGAATACTGAATATATCATGAACATGTACCGAAAAAAAGAATATATCATGAACTAAAAACACCAAATATATAAAGAACTTAATTCTCCATAGGTTGTAAATAGTTTTTCTAGAGAGTGAGAGATGTTGTAAGTGTGAATAAAAAATGAGGTCTCTCAGGCATTTTATATCCCCTTTACTGATAATCAATCACTTCACGTTAAAATAATCAGTAACTGTTCTCTCCCATCAAGGTAACCGTTACGAAACTAACTATCTGTTAATTATGTTTTCTTGTGCCAAAAACACCACTTTCACAAGAAATTGTCCACTAACCTAACCAATGTATGTTAGGTCTTTTAATTAGGACATACTTATCTCAAAACCCAAGGCTATACCTTTTTAATTATGGTCCACATGTGGGTCCCATTAAATAGGTTTTAACATTCTCTCACTTGGATCAAATTGATAAGGAAGTTGAAAGAAAATAATAATAATATATTTCGAAAATAAACAAATACTTGGGTTCAGTAAAGTTATGCGTGCTCTTTATCAAATTATCACAGCATAAGTGAGCTTAACTTCATTATTGATTATTTGAGCCTAATATTATGAACCATAACGGATATACACCAATACATAGTATATAACCTTCTATGATCACAATATCATCAAACTCTCATAAACAAGGCTTTAGGGTAATTTTCTTTACAAATGGATTTCTCATAAAATCCATTCGCTGATCAAAATTTTCTGCTAAGAACATATCCATACCACAAAAGATATAATAAGCAGAATATCATAATAATGTCATACAATAAATTGATAGTGTCTCCAAATGTGCACATATAGTATATTAGGCAATAACATTGTTCACTTGATCCATATGATCTACATGATTTTTGTACAATCCTGGAGATTTAGCTTTGGTCATAAAGTCTGCCACCATAAGCACAATGTTGATTTACTTAATGACACCTTATTTTCATCACGTTTTTCCTTTATGATGAGGTGTTTAATATCCATGTGTTTGTTACCATTAGATACCTTGCCATTATTTATTGAGGAAACGACTCTTGCATTATCACATAACATCCTTTTGGGTTTCAAAATAGAATCAACAATCTTTAGCCTAATGATAAAATTCCTCAACAAATTGGTCTGTGTAATCACCTCATAGCAAGCAACTAAATCAACTTCCATAGTAGAAGCTCCTGTTAATTTCTGTTATGTACTTCTCCAAGAGACTCCACCATTATCAAGCAAACATATATATCTTGATGTTGATCACTTGTTATTGGGGCATCCTGCAAAATCAAAATTTGTATATTCGACAACTTCTAGAGAATCATATATGTTGTACGTAAACATGTAATTTTGTGTTCCTTACAGATATCTAAGCATCTTCTTTGCAGCTCTCAAGTGATTTAGTCTTGGGTCACTTTGGAATTTGCTCAATTCACCAACTACAAATGAAATGTCTGGTCTGGTACAAATTTGGGCATACATTAAAATCCCAACCAATGATACATAAGGACATGCTCTAATCTTCTCCCTTTCAAGTTCGTTTCTTAGAGATTGAGATTTACTTAATTTGTCACCCTTAGACATAATGTAAATTCCCGGTAAATTTGAATTTTTATGAAAAATGGCCAAAATGGTAATTTGTCATTACAGTACGGGTTAAAAACCCAAATTTTTCTAGAACTCGGATAAAAAAATGGACCTCACCGTTGGATTCGTCTCACGAAATTTAGTTATCTAGTCAATTTTTGTTGAATTTCGAGACAGTCAAATTTTTCACGTTTTACGAAGCGATCGGGTGTCACGTGACCTAAAAACGAGACATAGAATTAAATTTTAAAAATTAGAAAATAATTTGAAGGAATTCATATGAAATTTTTTTGAATTTGAACCGAGACGAAATTTAATCGTTTTGGGACAAAATCGGACTCGAAAATAGAGTATGTGTGGCGCAACGAAAGCCAAGCATTCCAAAAGGTATAAATAGGGGAGAAAATTAGCATTTTCCCTATTTTTCAGTTGGGTTTCATTGGAGAGGGAAGAAAGGAAAAAAGAGAGAGTTTCCAACTGCTCTCTACTATCTACGGTTACCCTTTAGTCGGAATCTTTCTGGCTAAGAATTAAAGTTTATCTACATGACGATGACTACGCTTATGTAACAAAAATCATGGATTTCACCGAAATTCAAGAAACAAAATTTTGGAGAAATCAAGAGTTTGAGCTTGATTTGTGTTCTTAAAGTTTTCTACCATTGTTTTACGCTTCAAGAGGTAGAGTTCTTTTCATAATTATGTTTATTTTCAACCTAAGGTTGTAATATGGAATGTGCAGGGTGTTAGAGATGTAATATTATATATAAGACTTAGCTAAGGTGGTTGAAATGTGGAAAATGTATATTAAAAATGGTTAAAATCAATTCTAGGATGAATTGGATATGTAGAAATTGCCTTGTGATTTCTTGAGAAATGTGATTATTTAGGCATATTATGTGATTGCATAATTTTGGTGCCTGGAAGGTGTTTGCTTAAATGTCTATATGGATTAAGTGTGTTATGTACATTGACTATGTGGTAACATGCTTGAAAATTGATGTTAAAAAATGTTGGTATATGCATATGATATATTGACATTGTGATTGCTGATGGATATTGAAATGTTCATAATGTACTCATGACATATGGAACATAATGTTGAAATTGCAATTGAGATCTTAGTTGCATAATTATGTGAAGTGCAATTACACATTTAAATTGCATATGCACGGAAAATATCACATTTGTGGGCATTGACATGAGTGTGGGTGTGTGTGTATGGTTTGATCAAACACCATTCTTGGTGGATGATGCGTGGACTCGGGATTGTTGGGCAGATGGTTCGACTGAGTCGCACGGTTTACATTAAAAATTGGGTCGGAGTTAGCAAAAAGGGCTAGATTGTCCCTTAGGTGCAGGACCCGACGATTGGATACGCACTCCTTTGGTATAGAGTCCATAAAGTGTATTGGCGTATGCAAAGCCGTTAGTAGAAGTCCATTAATGCCGTGTCGGTTGGATGCCCGTTGGTGTGAGTCCATAAATACTCACCCCAAGAAAGACCCGGGATTTATAATGGTCATTGGATGTGCAAAAATAATGGCCGGGGCTTGTAATGTCCGAATTTATATGCATGACATTGCATGTGTTGAAGGAGTCAATAAAGGCTCGGGTTGAGTGGCATATGTAAGTTTTATCTCATATCATGGCATGATATAAGAATTCCATTGTTGAATTGTATATTCTTGAATAAAGTGATTGTTGTTTGTAAATTACATGTGAACATTTTATATGCATCTAGGTTGGGGAGTAGCCACTTTAGAAGATACCCTATTGAGCGTGACTCACTCTTTATGGGGACAATATTTTAGGTGCAGAACATGCATCGGTGGACGACTCTCATTCGGGCCCTCATTGTTGAAGAAAAGCTGAGATGTGACTTTTAAACTATGTTTTTTTGTAAAACTAAGATGTAATTTAGTTTTCGGACATGTAATTTTGTAAGGGATTGTAAAGTGAACTCATACAAACTGTATTTTGCTTAACATTGATGTTATATGAGTTTGTGTTGATGTTGTATAAGGATGAAATTGATTGAAATTGGAAAAGGATGGAATCGAGGAAAAATTGGGACGACCTACCGATAAAATGACACTCGTTTCATGTCTTATACACACAAACTTGTCATCTAATAAACACAACTTAGAAGCGTTGTCGCCTAAGAATATCTATACTACTCTTAAAAGTCTACTAAACCCAAAAATATTTTTGTACCATCACTATCCTCAATTAAAGTTGTAAAGTCTATTGTATCCTTCATGTTCTTTTATCATCTTAC